TGGAAAGAAGACAATGGCAAACCACTCCCACAAAATCTTCCCAGGAAAACTGCAGGGATTTGTCCAGATAATTTACCAAGAGTCAATATTGATATGAAGGCACAATTTTATTTTTTGTTTGCCGTCATTGATGGAACTATGAATTTGGAATTGTATCAGCAAACTCTACAGGTAGATCTGTTCATGAACTGAAACTCCAGAGAAAGTGGATCATGCAGCAAGACCATGACTTTATGACCAAAGAATGTTTAAAGTAGAAGAAAGTTAATATTTTGGAATGGCCAAGTCAAAGACTTTAATTCTACAGAAATATTGTGGAAGGACCTGAAATGGACTGGTCAGGTGAGGAAGCCTACCAACATTCCTGAACGGAAGCGGTTTAGTAAAGAGAAGTGGGCTAAAATTTCTCTAAGCCAGATGTGCAGGATTGTTCCACAGTTATTGAAAATTTCTTTGCAGTTATTGGTGCCCAAGAGGGGCACACTATGTATTGAAATGAAAGGTTCGCATACTTTAGCCACATGCCAATTTTGATCCCTTTGTTAATTGGCTTCACTTTTTCTAGTTTCAGCTCTTGCGGGGAGAAAATATAACATTGCAGGTCAATAGAAATATTGACAATTCAACAGGGCTCACAAACTTTTAAACACCACTGTACGCCTTAATAATGAAGCATTTGAATAAAGTATAATGCATCATACATTGTTATCATTAAGAATAATTAGAGAAAGAGGGATTGTGCTACTTACCTGATTTAGGTTTAAAAATCTTTTTCAAATGATAGTGCTCACATTTTATACACACTGAAGACTAAAAAAATCTGCAATGTTAATAGATAATCGCATCTGATTTTTATTTTTTGCAAAAACAGAAGCAGTCTCAGATGCTTCTGGGAACTCATTAGAAATAAATGGAGCAAACACGCTACAGGAAACCAAATACAAATCTATTTTTAAGGGAATCTTGAGCTTTTGCAGTAGAAGTGTTTGAACATCCCTTCTATTAATTGTAGAAACTACTTAAGATATTCAGTGTCAGTGATCAAGGCCAAGTGTGGAGAATAACTATAGTAGTTCTACTTTCAAAATTCTTGAAAACCATTTAAGGATGTCAGTAGGAGGTAAATTAAAGCCATATGCATTAAGAAGCTAATAATTTGAAAAATGTACAGGAGCAATGAACCTTGGAGTTTGTCATGCACTGAAATGACTATTAGAAACAGCACTGCGTAGTCCTAAATAACAAAATAAAAGTAAAATGAAGTCTGTCTAAAGTTGAATCATCGTGACTTCAGTAATCCAAGCTCAACCTCAGCACTAGTGAGCAAATCTCAGTAAAATTGCAAGCGTTACAATTTTTGGGGGAGTGGAGAGAAATAATATCTATTTTCATCTAAAAAGTTATAATTTAATAATGTTAGATACAGAATTAAAAGCAAATCTTGTGTGCACAACACATTAAAACAATCCAGAATATTTCTTTCTTTTTGTGTTTTCTATTATTAGTTCTCTGCAAGAAACACTCCTTTATCTGAATGACTTGTTTTCAAGTTAACTATGCAAAGGAATGCACTATTGTGTGGTCATTCTTTCAGATCATATATTGAACATCTTGGATTTTATTCATATGCTTTACATTTTGATCAATACATTTGCTAAGTGCTATTGCTATAAACCAAAGGTCTCCAAACTTGACAGCTTTAAGATTTGTGGACTTCAACTCCCAGAATTCCTCCTCTAGTCATGTTAGCTCAGGAATTCTGGGAATTGAAGTCCACAGTTCAGTTGCCAAGTTTGGAGACCTCTGCTTTAAACAGTCTATTTGCCAGATCAAATACTAGAAGTCAGAAAGGTACCAACACATTAAAAACAAGGACCTGGGTTAGGCAGATTTGTCTGATGTTATTAAAAGGTATCATTGCAAGATGTAAGCTGTCTTAAATAAAGCTGCTTTTTGCAATTGACTGATAGTGATTTTGTCAATGCCAATTATATTCATGAAGTGCTCCAAATGTTTCGGGATTTTCCATGCCTGCCTATGCTCCTTGGTAAATAGAGTCTGTCAACATTGCTACATGGATGACTTTGGATTTTAAGATCTTCCTCTCTTGATATATTCACTTGTATTCTTCTTCTTGACTTTAGTGTGCTTGATGTTGTCAGCTGGATGAGTTCTGTAAAATGAGGACCCAGATTGTTGGGGGGCAATATGCTGACATTGTAAACTGCTTAGACAGGGGTGTAAAGCACTATGGAGCAATATATAAATCTAAGTGCAATTGCTAAATGCTATAGGGCATCTTGATTCCTCCAGGTTTCATTCTTCTTCTGTTAATTGTAAAAGTGGCATATTTGTCCAGTCCTAATTGCATTCCTGTGTCTTAGGACCTTGCTTTTGTAATGGAAATTGCATGGATGTGAAGCGACCAATAGTTGGACTTAATCTATAGGCGACTTCATAATTTTGTGATTGAGCCAATTCCTAAAATGTCTTTGATGTTGCCATACTACCAAGTTACTTCAACAGAAACTAGTGTAGTGAATTTGATGACAGCATTTTATAATTGCAAGAACAACAAAATGTGTCTCGGGAATAGCCTTGAAGCTACTCTTCGTCATTTCTATGCGGTTAGGTTTGAAGTTTAATGGGTATGTGATATTTTTCTTTATTTAGACAAATACTTTTAATTCAGTCTGGTCTAATCTTCATTGCCATTTTTTATTTTACACAAGCAAATCTTGGCCTTATGTTATCAGAAAAGAAAAACTATTGCCGTGGTTAATATTTGTGCTGTTTTCACTTTGGTCATTTCCTCTTTCTTCAGTTTATCATCCTTCATGTTCCCTCTATCTCTTTCTTCATTTTTCTTTAGGGAGAAAAAAGTTGGAGTTCTTAAGGCTTTGCTGCCCCTGCCTTCTCTTTGTATTGATCAGTAATACTAAAAAAGAGATGAGTTAACATAAACCTGAGTAGACTCTGTAACCTTCCCCCCTTCCGCCTTTCTGGAAATGTAGATGCAATAACATTTGCAGTTGAAAAGGTTCATTCTCAGTTTCTAATGTTTAAGGATGCAAATGAAGCATTTTGTCTCTTCTGTGCCTGGAGGTGTTATGCAAGAAAACAGAAAGAGGTTTCTAGGATTAGTTCCACAGATTCCTTTTATCATGTAAAAATCTATGACGGATTTGATTGCCAGGAACTGAGGAAATCCTATATGGAAAAGATCTAAAGAAAATTCCTCCCATGTTTCACTTTCCTTCTATCTAAATCAGTAACCAGCTTGATCGTTACAGGGAATATTTCTTGGAATACATGCAATTTTCTATTTACTTCAATTATTTGTTCTCTCTTGGTTTCATGTTTTTATATGCTTCTTGATTATTTCAGTGTTCTGTTTGGAAAAGTATACAATTGTATTAAAAGAAAAATAGATTTGGATGCTCTGACTTTTGGAATATAAAAACTGTTTAAATCAGTCTGATAATTCTCCAAGATTTCAACTCTCTTATTCTCTTTTAGTTTTAGTTGACTATGACAAAGAGTGAATGTGGGAATCCATGTGTTGTTTACAGTTATTTTATGCATTTATTTGTTCCCTTCAATATTACATCAAGTAAGAGTGCCTAGAGTTGTCTTACAGGGGAGATGGTCAGCATAAACTTTTAACAAACAAACATTTAAGAGAGTCAGTTTGGTGTAGTGCTTAAGGCATCAGGCTAGAAACTGAGAGACTTTCAGTTATAGTCCCACATTAGATGCAGAAACCAGCCCTAGGAAGAAGGCAATGGCAAACCACACAACAGCTTTCAGGAATGAACACTGTTGAAGGTACACACTTAAAAAATGCTTATTTCAAATAATGACATTAATTCAGCTTCACCCATGTTTGAGATTGGTCTCACTGTCTGTCTGTCTGTCTGTCTGTCTGTCTGTCTGTCTGTCTGTATCCATCCATCCATCCATCTATCCATTTGTTTGCTATTAACTTTTGGCTTAAATATGTGAACTATCATGATCTGTATGATGGAAATGTATTGTTTCAGTCTAAGTTTTACAGAAGTTAAATTTGTAGAATCAGATATAGTAACCAAGTGGTAAGAAACCAAGTTATACACATGCATTTGTGACATATCCTTAAATCATTTCTTTGATATACTTGACTGTTGTGTTCTGCCTGAAGTAGGGCAGACTAATAAATAAGTAGTTTTATTATCTTATTAGTTAGCCAAATAATAAGCCCTATGAAAGACACCTATACAATTTTTGTTGCCATTATCACATTTTACTTAACAGTTAGCTGTAACTATAATCCTCTTAGCATTCAACATCCTTTCAAGCACCCCCTCCCCCCAAAACGCCCATTATGTATTGTATATATGTCTGTAGATTGGGAAACATAATTAAGGGTTGACATAATAACATCTAATATATTTGAATGGAACAGTATATTCTTTATTACCATAAGTATCCAGATGAGTTTGTAAGCTGCAATATAGCATAAAAAATAATTGCAGCTTTTCAAGTATTTCTTTAAGACATCAGTCTAAAATGGAAGATGTTCTTGATTAGTTTGAAGGTTCGTATTTAGAAATCTCTTCTTCTGAAAAAAAATTCAAACTCCATTTTGCATATCTTCAGCCCTTATAAAAGAAAAAAAGTTGTCATGTTAATTTTAAAGAACGCAGAATGAAATCCTGAACTATATTATATAACATATCTTAGTATGTTCTTGTGGCATCTCAGAGTTATGAACCTAATTGTCCTTTTCTCACTAATGAGATGCTGTTAGATAAGTCAGGCAAAATTATAAAAATGTAAAATTTTCAGCTAGTTTTCCTTGGTCTGGTTTTGATTCATACAAACAGTAATTATGGGATCTTTGCTTTCTCTTCTCATATATACTTTTAATGTACTGTTTCAAGTTAAAGTTACTTGTAGTATGTGAACTACATTCAAAGAGGTCCATTGTAATATTCTTCCTTCCTTCTTTGTTTCTTCAGGCATCAGAAGGTGTTGTTTTCATAGGACCAGATATGCATGCCATTCAAGCAATGGGAGACAAGATAGAAAGCAAACTGTTAGCCAAGAATGCAAAGGTCACTACTATACCGGGTTATGATGGGGTGATAAAGGTAAGAATCTTTTTGAAATCAGGTATTTATATAACCTCATTTTTAATTTAAAAAGTCCTTCGTGGATTAAGATTAGGGTTAAGAATAAGATATATAATTACAACCTTCAGTGGGGCAGTGGGATGTATGATGGAAATCTTTGCATATGATAAGTTGTTGAGATAAATGACACTCTTCATTCTGTATAAAAGAATAGTAAACTCAAAACTATAACTATGATCCGTTTCACATAATACTATATATGTGAGCTCTCTGGTCTTATGATTGTATAACTATGTAGGATAATTGCAAGTACAAATAAATAATTAAATAATAAATTAATACATCAATAAGAAAGGAGAAGCTTTTCTTCACACAAAAACAATGTTTTGAAGAGATAGTGATTTGTTTCCCCATAGAATGAAATGACTGCCATAGGTAGATAGAAGAAAGGAAAATTTGGGAAGGACCCTGCTGCATGTGTGAGTTAAACTACTTCCCTAGCCATAAAAATGAGATTGTGTTAACTCAATTTTGAAAAGTTGCTTCAGAAGAGCATCTCCTTTAAATGAGTCATTAACAGATGCTGCTTTTGCTTTTACATGTTATGAAGTATCTTTTGGAAATCAAATTAGGATTATGAGCCATCTGGGGTTTTGATTTAGGATGGGCGGCCATATAAATGTGTTAAAAATCAAATCAAATAACATGAAACATTGCAAACCCCACTAAAAATGGTTAAGAATCAATTTCCTTAACTATGTAGTTTTGCCCTAGCCTCTGTTACTTGATCACTTAAAATATGATATAGTGGAGAAAGGTATGAACATTGTGGGACCTGTGAATGAAAAATGTCTGCTGTGCTTTAAATGTTAAATATAGTACAGGTGGTCCATGGTTAATGATCGATCACTCAGCAACCAGTCAAAGTTAAAGTAGCACTGAATGAGGAAACATACAGTCAGTCCTTGGACTTTTCATAGCATCCGCACAGTCATGTGATTGCAATTTGGGCCCCAGCAACTGGCTTGTAATTACAACAGTTGTAGTGTCCCACATTCACTAGTTCTCCATCTTCCACCTTCATTGCCAGCTTTTGACAACAAAGTCAATGAGGAGACTGGCAGGAAGTCACAGCTGACAATCGTGACATCACACCTATCGACTGTGCAGGAGTCACCTAACCATCGCAACTAGAATTGCCATTATAAGCCAGCGTGGTCATGAAACATTATGCTTTATGACCATATATCACTTAGCAGATGGAGTTCCCAGAGCTAATTACCCTTATTAACCAAGGACTGCCTGAATCTTGCTCGTCGTAACATTGTTCCCAGTTTCTTTTTCACACTTGGGATGAAAAATGGTCAAACGCCCCTCTTTTTAGTGCTGTTGTACCAAATGGTCACTAACTGAACGGTTGTAAGTCAAAGATATACCTGTGTTCCTTTTGTGTAGCGCAATAGCATAGAACAGATTCTGGGTCAGAATGAGTGCAATGGTAGGGTTACAGCTCGAGAAATGCAAGTGGTTTGGATATTTCCATTTTGGAGCCAGTCAGTGACTTTCATTTTAAGTTGCCTTGTTTTGAGCATACAAAGAAACCTTTGCAGAACTCATGGGGTGAGGGGGGCAATTGACAGAGTATGCATTGCATGATATATGCTTGGTTCTGACCCATAGCTAGCTGTGGATGCCTACGCTGAACATGTTTATACCTTGCTGGTATCTATTGTGGAAAAAAGCGTGAATCAAACGCAAGGGTGTCAACAAGGTACAATAAAAAAATGGTACAAAAACCTGTGATGGTGTCATTGAAACTCCATCTGTTTTTTGTTTTTTGTTTATTCTGGTAGGGTGCTTTTCAGTCACACCAATACAGCTTTTCTTTTGTCTGTTTTGATCATATCCCTTTCCAATGTTATTACCTTTAAACACTTAAAATACGAAGGTAGTAGCTTTTGGCTAAGTATTTTATACTTACACATGTTATGATATGATACTTAATGTAATATGAACCCAGAGTGGGATGGAGCCCTTTAAATGGCTGGTATGAGTGTGTGTTGTCATCAGGATGGATGGTGGATGGGGGTTTATTATTTTATTATTGTTATTTCTTTTATTTTATATTTTTATCTGCTGTAAGCCTCCATGAGTTACCATGAGTGAGTAGGCAGCAATATAAAAACTTAAAAATAAATAAGCAAAATCTGGATTTAATTTTTGTTTTATGGAGAGTGTAGATAGCTTTGAACAATATAATAGTTATTTATTCTTTTCACTACCTTTGGCCTTCAGTCCAAAGCATTTCCCATGACAGCCATTGCTAGATATTAAAATGGCCCAAATCCATAGCTACAGGACACCTATTTGCATAAAATTTGCCAGCACTGTTTTATATGGAACTGCAAACAGGGGCCAATTTCAATCGTGAAATAAATTTTGCAATATTTTTTGATCTTGGTGTTTAGATTAGGACATCTTTGGGAATAATACCACCTTACTTACCAAGGCTGTAGTACAGACATAAAAAAAAAATGAAGCATAAAATTTGAAAGGTGTTCTGTACATGCTAAATATGATCCTATGTTGTATATAGACATTAAGGTAACTACTTGAACAAATAATGCAACCAAAATAAAGATTTGGTTATGGAAGCCATGTACAAGTATAAATATTAATGGGTCTTAAAGAAACTGTAGGACTCTAGGCTTCAGTAGAAATGTTTAACGTTTATCTGTCATTATTCTTCCATCTATTCTGTAGAGTAGATAAAATGTATGTATGCTGATGCTGATTTTGACTTCAGAATCTTGATATCTTTAGTTCTGCCTTTCTTTGAGAATGTATAAAATACTTCCCCCTTCACCTGAACAAAATATGCAAGTGTACATGCCTATATTTAGAGTACATCACTTGAAGTCATTTCATTTGTTTACGTTTTCACAAGGAGAGAATAATTTGGGGCATTAAGTCTCGTGTCTCCTTTTTCAAGAGATTCATCTTTCTATAGGTGGCCCATAGGACCTCATTGGATGTGTCCATGCAGCAGGTATGGATGGTTGTGTGTCAAGGGAAGGAGATCAGTTTATAAACACCTCTTTAAGGATCCCCACCTATATGCCAATTAAACTTAGAAAAATGTTAATTTTCCTAAGCTTTTGCCTTTTGGCAAAGGAATGTGATAATCTTCAGAGGAATAACAAACTAGAGAGTTAGTTTGTCTCCCTTGTTCCCTATAAAACCTCCCTCCCCCAAGTGGTGAGCTATTTGCACCAATGTTAAATTTGAAGTCTAATTGTAAGTCGGACCTGGGTAATAAGATGATCTAGGATTGCAGCATAAGGAGAAGATGGAAAAAGTGTAACTACCCTTTTTCCATATCAGCATAATATAGACATGCAGACCCTGCATGGCAATGAAGCTTGGGGAGGAAAAAATATTTTTCATTGTTAATTCTTAGAGCAAAAGAATTAGAAATGGAAAAGATGTTTCTGTTTGGTTTCCAGAACATGTACCAAGCCTTAAGTTCAAACTCCTGTTTCTGGAGATTCTTACTGGATTTGTTTATAGACCAAGAGGACATAAATAGGAGCTTAATATCTCAATGATTGGGAATGTTTTTAGAAGAAGAAAAAATAACACCGATAGAAAAATGCTGGGAAAATAATAAAGGAAGATTTCTTAACTTTTTCTGTTTGTTCTTTCTCTTTTCAGAAGTAGACTGACTGGCTTTTAAATAGAAGAGAGTGGGTTTGATGCATCTATGTGCTCTGACTAGAGGAAGAACATTTATTATTCTAATATTTTCACAAAGTGGGCTGATAGGATAGTGAAATAGCTTTTGTTTTTGAAGGCTGGGAATTATAGCTTAACACGTGTAATAAAAGGAGTAATAAAGAGTAATTTTAGTGCTGCTTTGAAATGTAAATGCCATACAGTAGCTAGTTGACTTCTTATAGGCTTGAAGTCTGAAACAGTTATTCCCGGTTCACAGGTAACTAAAAGAGAGTGGAAGAACTAGATCGCTTCAACTTTAAAATTCTGTCAATAAAGCTATGCATGATTTTGGGGGGGAGAAAAAAACATGAAAGTTTCCTCCTTGGCTTTACAGTAATCAGGCATTTCGTTAGTCCTCACTCTTCCTGCATTTTATTCAAGAGGCTCTAATTGTCTGTATTTGGCAGGTTTAACACTTCCTGACAGAGAGGCTATTAAGGGGAAGTATTCTCACATAACTGTCACAGGCAGGAACAAAGACCCTTCAGACTCAATGTGTGGAAATCACTAACATTCTTAAATGACCCTTTTCATGCATTTTTAAAAGTCCCTCTAAGCTAGAACTTGGTGCCTGCCGGGGCTGCAGAGAAAGCAACAAGGTGTAACAGTAAACCTTGATTTTATTCTTTCCTGCTTTTTGGTATGGATTTCTGTTTGGTTTAAAAACAGTTTTTGTTTGTAAAATCTCATTAATAGATGTGCCTATTTGAAACACACATACACACAAAGATACCCACACGTGATACTAGTTTCAGGGTTGCTTTGAAATTAACAGGCACTATTTGCAGAGGAGAATAGTTAATGAAAGGAAATTAAAATTTATAACTATTTCCTGTATCAGCTTCCTTAATCTTCCTCACACTCTTAGTAGGTACTAAAATGATTTTGTTTTAATGATTGATTAGCAAAAATCTTTCACCCCCTCTTTCTTTGAGGCAAGGAGAACTCTTGTTCAATAGAAAAAAAACCCCAATGTTTTAAAATATCAGTTTTCATTTTAATGTTCAGTCCCTACAGATTAAGTCATATAGATTAGCTGGAGTGATCTGAATATACTATATACCAATCCAGCAGCAGTTTTAAAAACAAGAGTGAACTGTAACAAAGAATTGTGAGCTCACCTATTTACTTTTAGAAAGGCAGGCCTATTCATACTTATTCTATTTTTTTTTTCATTTCAATAGGAGAAATAGTTTTGGTTGCTATTCTTGAACAGTTGAGTGTCAGAAATCTTCACTGATGTGGTCGGAGGAGATCTTGTGGATTTGTTCAAGATTGTGGTTCAAGATTTGTTTGAACTACTGGGGATTGGGATCCTCTATAGAAAAATGAAGCAAGAATGCCCTTTTAATCATTATTTGAACTATGTTTTGTTACTTTCTCCTCCACCCATGTATCATATTCAGAATCTTAATTCTAAAATAAATTTAAGTAGAGGTAACAGTTTGTATTCTGTTGTTAAAATGCCAAATGCTATTAATGTTTGTGAGTCGAAGTTTCATTTAAGGTTAGCATTACTTTTTGAATTATTCTTCACCCTTCACTCAATTTATGCAACTTTTCTGTGAATCTTCTAAGACTTGTGTTGATGCTGAAGCTTAACCAAACAATAGAGAATCAACTCCCCCTGCTGACTATATCTAGGCCAACATGATACAAGGGTACCTAAGAAGACACGAAGAAACTAAAAAAAAATCAAATAAAAAGGGTATTAGCTGGCTGCTGTCAAATCCTAGTGTTCTAATCTTTGCTTCTTAGTGAAACCTTCTACATTCAATAATTTGAGCAATTTGAGTAATCCTTCTGTAGTCGTGTTGCTTGTTGTTTTTTGTTTCACTAAGTGATTCTTTATTGCTCAAGGGCTGTATAATGCAAGTGACAAGGTAAAATTTACATTTCATTGGAATTAATTTTATATTTCTCTGAATGAAGTGGTCAGAAGGTTGTAAAATCAAACATTAAATGTATTGAAGAAGGCAGTATAATATATCATTGCCTCAGAGACATTGAACAGCACTGATGGGATTAATGGTGGGTCCAATTTCCTGCTTTTACAGGATGCAGATGAAGCTGTCCGAATTGCAAGGGAAATCGGTAAGTTAGGGTTTCTTTACATGGGGACTGGCAAGAGATGCGCATGCTTTTCAGAAGATGCTCTTGACTAAATTATCCATTTAATCAGGAATCTCTTTGGAATACATGATTTTTGGTTTTCAAATTCTCTATTGCTATAAGAACTGGGAGATGTCCTTTGCACCTTAAAACTTAATTCTATATTTATATCTACATAAATGTCATTTTAGCAATTTATGTTGCAAACAGGATGACCTAATCTGTTTAAAAATTGGGTGTTTCATGAGTTTGTCTAAAATGTGTTATAAATAAGTTGCTGATTCTTAGAGAGCAGATATAATTGGGCTTACTCTAATTTTTCCAAAAACACGTGTTGATCTGTGATACAATATAGGCTTTGGTGAGCTACAAGTAAGGATAGAATTTATGTTCATTGTACCTCCAAATTTGATTTTTTAAAAATAATAGAACCTTCTTACTTGTTTTACAAAATGAATTCTTATTGAAATTGAGTGGAGTTTATGTTTTGAAATATCTTTCTCTGGATCATTGTCTTGTGTTTTGACAACTTCATTCTTACAGAATAGATTTTTTTTAACCATTTGAAATTTTGAAGTGTAAGGAGTAGCCATTCCTTCAAAACTGCAGTTCTCTGACGGTGACAGTAATCATGCAATTTTGCTGGCAGTGTTCTGTCTTGGTCTGGATGTCCAAGTACAAACCAGGGCTCATCCTGCTTAGCTTCTAAAATAAGACAAAGATGACTAAATGTTGCCACCTGCTAAGGTGGCATAGAGACTATAAGTCCAATTAAATTTAAACTTATATTTGATCTTGGCCTATATTATGTGATAGTGTCTTAGAGAGACTAAAGTTTATTCAGAAATCTTTGTCCAGTTGTTATTTCTTAGTCTTAAGTAACCTATACAAAAAGGGAGAACATGAACATTATAAAATAGAGATCCAACCTAGATATGAGGAGAATTTCATGAGAAGAATTAATCAGTAGATGGCTTGCCTTCAGAAGTTGTAGGTGCTCGATCATTGGATAACCATTTGTTTGAAATGGTCTAAGGTCCCCTGCTTGAACAGGAGATTGGATTAGAAGATCTCCAAGGTCTCTTCCAATAATTCTAATGAGTTAAACAGTTCTACTTTCTCTCTGTTGCCTGTTACTTCCTTGCCGTCTTCTCTCTTTAGTGGACCAACTGTTTCCTTGATTTTTTTTCTTGTTATTTATATATTGGAAGAACCTTTTTTTAAATTATCTTTGACTTTTGTTGCAAGTCTTTGTTCATTCTGAGCCTTTGCTTTCCTGACTTTGTCTTTGCAGATTCTGGTATCTGCTGATATTCTGCCTTAGTTGTATGTCCCTCTTTCCATTTTTTGTACTTGTCCTTTTTTTCCTTTCAATTTGCCAGAGAGATCTTTGTGCAGCCATGCTGGTTTCTTCTTGGATTTCTTGTTTTTCTTTCTCAGTGGTATTGTGCTGGTCTGGGCTTCTACGATCATACTTTTCAGAGTTTCCCAAGATTCTTGAGTTGTTTTCCCCTTTAGGATTTTAATCCATGGAATCTTTCCCAAATTCTCTCTGAGTTTATTAAAATCAGCTCTTTTAAAATCCAAGACTCTGATGTCATTAATTCTGATTCTGATTCTGATTCTGATTCTGATTCTAATTCTAATTCTAATTCTATCCCTATCCCTTTCCCCCTTCCCTAAACTAAGAAATGCAGAACTTAATAAGTCTTATGGTTGTTTTGAAACGTAAGACATAGTTGACTAACTTTGTGACCTTGCACACGAGGAATGTTTTAATGAGAATTTTTCTTCCGAAACAAAGCTAAATTTCTAGGTACAAAAAGCAGTTTTGGGGGAAATGGAAATAGGAGAAAGGAAAGGCTACAACCACAATTGTGTACAGAATTTCCAAATAAAATCAATATAATCAGCCCAGTTATTATTTATTATCCCCTTGCATAAGCTGGACCTTTTGCTTTAATATTTTTAGGTAGGTTCTCTTTGTTCTTCTCCTGTTTCCTATGTATTTTTTTCAGTTTTCCAAAATAGAGCATAAATGAAAGCCAGATTCTGTGGGGAGATTAATTGGCGCTTTGTCCAATTAAGGATATTGGTTCCATCTCTAGGTCTATTCAGCAAATCAAATTATGTAGAGCAATATTCCCCAACCTTTTTGGCTTTGCGAATTGGTGGGATGGGGAGAGGGGATGGTTCCGCATGAGCAGCTGGTGAGCGCGCTCATGCAGCTCCATTTGCAGAAGCAGTAGGCATGCATGCCCGCTGTTCATGCAAATCGAACTGCACACATGCTCGCCTGCTGCTTCCACAGCCCAGTTCTGAATGGGATGTGGCCCAGTACTGGGACATGGCCCGGGGGTTGGGGACCCTTGATTTAGAAATTAAGCCCACCTTCCTAATATCTTTTTTTCAGAATAGGAAAAGTGCAGGCATCTTTTCACCACTTCTAGTTTTATTTAAATGAGATATTCTAGGGGGGGGGGGGAAATGTTATTATAATATTGGTAATGATCAGAGCTTCATGCAATTTGTATTGATATGTAAAGGGACTGAGTAAAGAAGTAACACCAAAGTTTGGTGCTTTTTCATTTCCTAAAAATAATCATCCAGCATGAAGTGTGCCCATGCAAAATAGTGATTAATCTGTAGTTCACTCAATTCAATTTTCTACCCAATACACAATATGACAAATGTTGAAGTGCTCCAAAGATTGTAGAGAACACACCATATCCCATTCTGATAGTTATTCATTGATTCTTGATTGATTAATACAGTCTGTAGAGATTTCTTACATTTCTAGGGCTCCATTGATGTCAGAGATGTCTCCCGGTCTTGGTAGAGAGAAGGGTTTTAAATAATAGTAAATATTTTCTATAGTACTTCATGAAATTGTCCCGGAGTCAGGATCCTTAGCGTCAGCACCAGTTCTTTTGCAAACAATTTCTATGCTTGTTTCAGAGTTGCCACTAGGTAGTCAGAAAGAACCCCAGTATAATTTGGAATGTCCAAGTTAAATTCTAGATCTAAACCTCATAAAAACAAGCAATTCATGCTAAAATCCTCAGACGATACAGAAGCAAGTTTCTATGTAGGAATGGCACAAAACTTCTATACAGCAATGTGTATGTAAGAATCTTTTTTTGCCATGAAAATTCAGTTGACATAGCGCAAGATAAAAATGTGAAGCTTAATAACCAAATCACATAAAATCTGTATTCAAAATTACGTACTGCTGTCAAATTTTAAATTGTGTCTAACTTTGTGCCAACAATTTAATTAGTTGGAAATAACATTAGCCAAAAAAAAAGATAGACATTTCTTAACTCTTCATCTAATAATGCTTCAGCAATGATAATGAATACAGGTAAAAATAAAAAACCCTGAGAGTTTCCATCATATATAACAATATCATAGTATATATTGGCTATAATCTTATCATTCTGTTTCATAGAACTAATTATCTTCTTTAATACATAATATTCCTTGTGAGGTGAAGTGCTTGCCAACTCTTTTTCTTTCAACTCCTTTTAAGAACACAAATTCCAAAAAAATTATATTTAATAAAGTAAGATCAGATGGTATCAAATCTTGAAGGTCATTCTTTATGTGGTAGCAATCACCAATGTAAGTAAATAGAAGAATGGTAGCTGAATGAAATACAGTACAGGTAGTCCTTGACTTAACAACACAATTTGGACCAGAATTTTCATTGCTATGCAAAGCAATTATTAAATAAGTCACATCTGATTTTATGACCTTTCCTGCCACAGTTGTATTACTGCAGTTGTTAAGTGACTCGTGATCATTAAACCAATCTGGTTTCCTCCATTGACTTTTCTTGTTGGAAGCTGGCTGGGAAGGGTAGAAATGGTGATCACGTGATCTCAGGGTGCTTCAACCATTGTAAATACATGCTGGCTGCCAAGTGCCTGGCTTTTGATCATGTGACTATGGGGATTCTGTGATGGTTATGAGACCGAGTACAAGTTGTAAGTCATTTCCTTCGGTGTCATTGCAACTTTGAATAAATTTGTTAAATGAATTGTTGTGACTTGAGGACTACATGTATACAAAGTTTATTCTAAAACTGAAGACTTATTTATTGATCTTTCTATTATCCGAATAGTGGTGATTTTCCATAGTTTTGTTTAAAATGTGGATAACCCTTCTCAGAATGGTCTGACTGCTTCATATTTAACATCTTGGTGCTTGGATTGGACTAATGAAACAGTGCCATTAATTTAACATACCTTTTTCTTCTGTAGGTCTTCATGTCATGTTAATTTGAAATTCCAATTTCTTTAAAAAATGGTTTTGCTTATTTGCGGATCTTTTGATGAAAAGACAGTGCTTTAGATATTTATTAAAATGCTGTGTTTTATTGGTTGTTGCTAATTCAATCTGATAAACTTAAATTCAGGAGATTGCTGTCATTAAAACAACTGCACTATACAGATAACGCAGCTTAAATTCCTCTTCCCAGCAGAAAGCTTTTTAATAAGCTTGTTATTGACCTTGTCATTGAACATGTGGTCAGTTGTCATAAATGTATGATCAAAATTTAAATTTCCGTCTTAATTGTTCCCTGCTGCTAGGCTACCCTGTGATGATCAAGGCTTCGGCAGGTGGTGGTGGAAAAGGCATGAGAGTTGCATGGAATGATGAAGAAGCCAGGTGAGATGCTGTCCAGAAATCAGTTTTGATGACTACATCTCTTTTCAAATCCAACGATGCCATTATTTCTTTTTAAAGCTCTCATAAATTATGATAAACTAGAACTTAAGCAGAAAATGGGCAAGTTTTTGCTCTTATTTAGGCAGTCTATTGCAGGTAGTCCTTGACTGATGACCATTCATTAAATGATTCTTCAACATTATATCAGTGCTGAGAAAAGTTACTTATGACCAGTCAATAATTTGTGTGATCATGTGATCAAAATTTGGGTACATGGCAGCTGACATGTATATACAACGGTTACAGCATTGTGGAATCATGGGATTACTATTTATGATGTTCTTGGGGTTTCCAGCAAGTAAAGTCAATGGGGAAGCCGGATTCACTTAACAACCACAAGACTTGCTTAATAACCGCAGCAAAAAAGATCATAAACTTGGGTGCAACCCATTTAACAGCCACATCATTTAGTGATAAAACACTGTTTGTGGTCTGTGGTGCTCCATTCCAAGGATAATGAACTAGAAGTCTCATTTTCCCAATCAGTATGACTGTGGGCAAGGTGAAATGATCCTGCAGAACAGCTAACATGTTAACATGGGGGGAAATGCCCTGGTGTACCTTAACACTTTCTTATAGAGGACTTTTGTATATATGCATATATATGTTTTTTCTCTCTCTCCGTATGATTCAACTATTATTCTGTAATTTTATTAATAAATTAGTTACATTAATCCCATATTTTCCAGAAGCTTGGGAGCCTGGAGCAAAATGGCACAGCTTTTTTGTGGCAGCACTTATTTTATTTAGCGGATGGCAAATACATGGACTTATAGTAGTTCAAATATTAATGTCCAGTCCACCCAGCCAGTATGGCAGCACTGATACCATGGAACAGCCCTTTGATTAAAATCAGGCTAGCTGCCTTCTTGCTAATTTTTTGGGGGGAAATTTGAAAATGGAATGGTTTCATAAAGCTTTCCCTTGACTGTATAAGGTATATGATGCCATCCTTTTTTTTTGGTTTTATTTTCACTCTTTTTTTTTGACAGTTTTTGTTGCTAATATTTGTTGTGCTCCTCCTTTTATTTGTGGTAAATTATTTCTATTTATAGTTTGTAAGCTGTTGAGAGTCATTTTTGATTGCAGTGTGATAGAAAGGTGTTGCATATGTAAATAAACAAATCCTATAATGACATTAGCTGATTAATTGTTTACACGATTTGCTTTATTCACCAACACTGTCCAATTAGTTTTGTCAATAGAAAATGACTGCTGAATTTCAAATATTTTCAGTAACTAAAACAGGATTTGATTACACTTTTGGAGAGAGGACTCAAGTTGATGGGGCTGCTAGGAAGTATGTGTGTGTATGTTGGGAAGAGCCACAAATAGCTTCCTCACAACCTCATATCAGTTTGCATGTCAACTGAGGAGGGTGTTTAACATATTCTTCTTCAGAATCCTAGCAAGCCTGGTTACTGATTTCACCAATCTTCAATATCTTCAGTAACATTATTGCAAAACGTTTTTGGCTTTATCTTCTTAATCAGGGATGTTAAACTCGATTTCATTGAGGGCCGCCTCAGGATTGTATTTGGCTCGGTGGGCTCAGTGAGCATGGTCAGGGTGGGCGTGCCCAGCTTGACTTTACTTGTGTCAGGGACGCCTGTGGTAGTCACCAGCGAAAACGTAGCTCAGGAAGCCAAGCTCCGTTTTCGATGACAGAGGGCTGCAGGAGGCTGTGGCAGCCGAAAACGAAGCTCCTTTTTCACTGGCAGAGGCACCGCAGGCTGGTCCTTTGCTGTTTCCAGGGTGGCCCTGTGGGCCAGATCTAAGCACCCCACGGGCTGGATCCAGCCCTCAGGCCTTGAGTTTGACAACCCTGCTGTTAATGATTGCTGATTATCTGAAATTAATAATAACAAGAAAACACCAGGATGCCAACACCAGGATTCTGCATATTTTAAGGGGATATCCAATCAGTATTTTGTACATATCAACTTTATTCATACCCTCAAACACATAATTTAATTGTTAAATTATGCATCTGAGAAAGAAAAGGGGGATCATTCATCAACAAACTCATTTCTGCAGTTGAAAGGAATTGAACCTGGAGTTGACTTACCAGTTGATGGCCCTAAATGATTTTGATTGGAGTTTTAATTTTATTTTATAGTTTAGAAATGTGATTTATGAAGTTATCTTGAAATGGCTAGGAAAAAAATGCACATTAGAAACTTTTAAAAAGTAATGTAAATTATGGTCAATAGGCCAATAATTTTATATGCTAATTTATGTTGATCTGAAAGATTTTTCATTTATACACATATTAAATATGAACATTTCCCTAAAATGTAGAAATTCCCAGGCAACTTAGTCATTGTTTATTTCTTTTTTATTATCAAATAACTTTTTTGTAAAGGTTTATAATGGTTTTTGCATTTGTACAATTTCCTTCCTCCGTGGATCATATACCATGGGAGAGGAGAGCAGGTTAACATATAATGAAAAAAAAGAGAGACATCTTGGAATTAGCAATAGATTTTATATGTCCTATACATTTAATAGAGATTCCTCATGTGCATGGGTATAGAGTATTGGGTAAATTAAATGTGTGTATTATACTTCATTTGCTGCAGTTATGATTTTTATTATTGAGGTTTTTAAGTGATTTAATAGAACTTTTAAAATAAAATATATTTTCAAACATTTTATTCAAAGAAGATTTCAGGAAGATTTTAAGAACTACAGAAGCATAGAAGGGATATAAAAAGATTATAAATATGTAAAGGAAAAGTGAAAAATAACTGTATTAAGAAGAGAGACAAATTTCTAAATAAGTAACTTCTCATCAGCAGTTACAAACATAATAATTGTCATCTATACCCTTCCATATTGCATATTATAGTTACCTTGTTCCCATAAATATTTTAATTAATAAATCCCCAAATTAGTAGTTTATTTTTATCTATTTTCAGCAAGAAGTCTTTAAAGGGTTTCCAGTCTTTTTAAAAAGTGGTTGTATTCTTCTTAATCAAACAAATCAATTTAGCCATTTCTGCAATCTCAGCCATCTTCATAATTTTCTCTCTTATTGATGTTTCTATAGACTTCTATTTTTGTGCATATAATAGCTTCCCTGCAATTATCATATTAAAACCAATTGTCTGTGAGACTTTTCTAGTTGAGTGTTTGTAAGTTCCAATAAGAAAAGTTCAGTTTCATCTGAATGTTAATTTTTAAAATTCTCTGCATCACCATATGCATTGGTGCCCAATATCTTTTCATTTCCCCCCAAATCCACCATGCATGATAAAATGTCCCTTCATGTAGGTCTTCCATCTTTGACTTTAGATGGAGTAGTACTTCCCCCTTCAAGGATGGTGTACAATCTGGGGATCTTTCTGGACTTGCAGTGTGGCAGCTCTGGTCAGGGAGGCATTTGCACAAATTCATGTGGAGCTCCCTTTCCTAGATCGGGGACTGTTCAGACAGCCACTCATGACCAATTATTTTGTGGATTGTCTACAACATATCCTAAATTTGAAAACCATCCAGAAGCTTCAAGTGGTTTAGAATATAGCAGTGCAAGCAATGATGTACATACCTCATGTTCCAGAAATTTCAGTGGCTGCCATTTGGCTTCCAGGAGTGATTCAAGGTGCTAGCTGTTATCTATAAAGAGGAAGTATCAGAATAGAGGTGGTTGATAGATTAACAATAGATCCCGCCTTCCTACCACTTTGCTCTCACCCTCCTCATTGAGCCGCATGGCTTTTTGTATTAACTTATTTATGTTTTTTATCCTATACAGTTTTTATATTTTATGATTGTAAAGGGCAGCCAATAAATTTTTATTAACAAATGAACAAATCCCTACCTATCATAGGCCCAGCCTCCCATATTATCTGTTTGGCCACTTTGTTCTTACAGAATCCACACTGGATTCCTTTAGTGTAATCTAAAACAGCATTCCCCAACCTTTCCGATTCTGCGGACCAGCAGAAATGGCAGAGAAGGGAAGAGGGGATGGTTTTGTATGCATATGCTCACCGCTTTCACAGATGTAGCCGTATGCATACGTGCTCGTCCACCACTTCCATGGACTGGTCCAAATGGGCTCAGCCCAGCACCAGTTTGTGGGGTTGGGGACCCTTGATCTAAAAAAACATTGGAAGCATACCTCCTATGTACTAATGCTTGCCTTCTGGAACGAGGTTCCTCTGAGAACTGATTGCTATTGTTCAGAACAGCGGTAAAGACCAGCTGTTCACCCAGGCCTTTAGCAGAGGGAGAGTAAGATCCCTTGCTTCATTCCATCTGGTATGGGGCACTTTGATCTTCTAATGATTTTGTTGCAATTTCTTTCATTGTTGTGAGCTACTCAGAGAGATTTGGAGAAAGTTGGAATACAACTTTAAGAGATTATTACTATTATTTATTGATTTTATTTATTATTCATATTGTATAGCTGTCCATCTCTCCAAAAGCAACTCTGTGTCACACACAATAATAGAATAAAAACCCCAAATGTAAAAATAACACATATAAAAATGTAAAAATCTACCTTAAGAAATAAATAGCATAAAAAAAAACCCAAATATATAAACTCCTAGGTGATGAGAGGATAATACTCTTTTTATTGTACAAATGTAGGTCTGCAGTTTTGAGTATTCCAATGTGACATTTATATATTGAGGTAACGGATGATGATGTCTGCAGGAGATGGGCAGGATGCAGAGTTGGAATGCAAGAGCTATACCCTTTGAATATGACCCGCTGTATGACAGCGACACACATACATAAAGGATGGGGCTTCTATTGTAACAATCTGTGTGCCATCTTATTGGTTTTAATGCCACGGGATGCAGATGACTTCATTATAATTTTATCTGAACATTATTGGTAAAGTGATTTGCTGTTGCCTTTTTCAGAATGTTTTTGACTTCTTAGTTTAGCCTGTCAATTTTCCTTGTAATTTCTTGCTCAGGTAGTGACAGGGTGAACACTGCCTATTTTCTTTCAAATCAGTTAAGGATGAGTAGGTGGTACCACCTGCAGTGTTTTTTTGTAAGATTTAACATGCTATAACTGGCTTTCTTTTGTAATACTTATGAATCATGGCATTTATGCCTATAAAATCAAAATGTACCCATTATTGTACTTTCAGCAGTTGAGGCCTTTTAATCCAAAGCTATTTCTACATGCAGGGTTTCTTAGTCTTTTATTAAGCAGAAATAATATATTGTCCATATTTCTAAATGGATTTCTTTTCTTGTTTATAAAGGGAAGGTTTCAGGTTTTCATCTCAAGAAGCTGCTTCAAGTTTTGGTGACGATCGGTTATTAATAGAAAAATTTATTGATAATCCTCGCCACATAGAAATTCAGGTTTGTGTTTTTCTCTTTCAACTTTCAGTGTGGAGTTGTTATCTAGGTTTTGATGAGTTATTTTTTTCCTTGTATTGTCCTTTATTATTAAATTAGTAGGAATGATTTTTCATGCTAAAGGAAATGAAGAACTTAAACCTGAGAATATTTGTGTATAAAGAAAGGTTGTTGAATTGAAAGCCACTCAGTAACTTAATCTAACACTTTGTATTATAGAACATTGAGATTAAATAAAACCAGTTTAACATAATTTATTTGGCAAAATAGTCCCATTATTATTCCTTTTTGTCCAAATGATGTAATGTTACAAACTGCCGTACCTAGAAACGAAGGTGTCTGCATGCCTAAAAAGATTTCGATTAATGTTTTCCTTAATAGGAGCTGATTCTGTAGTGTGTAAACTACTTTTCAAGTACAAATTTTAAAAGCTTTTTCTTTTGGATGAGGTTGTCTTGGTTATCAGTTTTTCACCAATATCACAAGAAAAGGATAGGCAACCATTTTTGCTGTATGAAAAAGATAAATAATCCGTAATAGGACAATGCCTTTTAAATCAGTGTAGTAAGTTGAGGGTAGAGGTTTGTTCTCTGAGCTTGTGGTTTTCTTCTTATAAGGAAGAAATATATAATGTGGTCAGTAGGTCTTGTGAGTAGTGTATCATCTAGTAAGTGCCCCAAAAGAGTCTGAAAGATTTCTTCAGGCTTTTCATCAGGATGGTAAACAAAAGTTGTGTGTGATATCACCACATATATACAAAAGGGGCACATATTTCATCATGATGTTGTAGTGTTTGTTCATCATTTATTCCCCACCCTTCTTTGGATGACCAAGCCTAGTGTTCTACCACTGTGAACCTGACTAAGCAAGATGCTGGAGTCTATTCAGATTTTTTCAAGGTCAAACTCCTCAACCACCTTCTAGCATATTTCCTCTTTTTACAGTATTTCTTTCATGGAGAAAAAACCTAAACTGAATATAAAGTGTAATATTTATTCTTTTCCTTACTTGGATAGAACAAGAACAGATAGATTATTAATTAAAATAAATGCTCTGGAGTACCATTGATGAAATATTTTCACTGAAACTAGTAGATACTTGAGGTAAAGAATGAATGTACTTTTTAAAAAAATTAACCCTGAGTTCTTATTAGGTATTGGCTGACAAACATGACAATGCATTATGGCTGAATGAAAGAGAATGTTCAATTCAGAGAAGAAACCAGAAAGTTATTGAAGAGGCACCAAGGTGAGTGCAGTGTACTCTTCTATGAGCATAAAGAAAATTTAATAAAGTGCTAAAACTGAATTGTATAACTTAATGTTAATAGAAATTAAGGATCATTGAACTGGTTGCTAATCTGAAGTCCTTTCATGAGCTTCAAAAAAAAAAAATTAAACTAGTAAACTGCTATATTTTAATGATTGCAATATTATTTGGTGATAATGCTTTGTTGCCTGAAAATCTTTTGATGAGAGATTTCTTTATTGCTTCTGATTCCTTGAGAATAAAAATGTTATATTTTAGCTTTTCAACCGCTAGAGTACTTTTAACAATAAATAGTAGCAGATAATTTCAGAAAATAGAATTACATCCTTATATGATTTTTCCATAGTATTATCTAGATGCTGTATTTCCTAAACACTTTTTAAATGAATAAAACCTTAGTGCCTTATTAAAGCTCCCCATTGAACTGCAATCTGGCACGATAGTCAGAGAAAATTTCAGAGAAATTCTTGGTTTTTACATACATTTCATAGTTCATACAAGATATTCTCCTTCGGTCCAGACTATCATGTTTCCTTTCACTCAGATGTAGATTGCTTCCTTCCAGAAGCAGTTCTTTCAGAAATGGAAAGAAGTCATGATTCAGATAACTGCTGATGCATGACAGAATTGCCCTTGTGTGTATGCTCATAAAGGTTTCTCTGGATGTAGGCTTGCACATACTAATGAAGAAGGAGGTGAATTTGTCATAAATCCATTCTCTGCGTGTACATTGTTCATTAAGACAGGTTTCCAACCCCCAGGCTGCAGCCCACTACTAGGCTGTGATCTGTTTGGAACCGGGCCACACGAGCGGCTGGCCAGTGTATGCGCGTGCACAGCTTGTGCGAGCAGCGGGCTGGTTTCTCTTTCCTCCTGCCAGGCTGCCAAGCCATAAAGGTTGGGGAACGCTGCACTAAGATATGATTTGTTCTATTTCTTTGAGGTAAAGGTTGAATATGCAGGAGTGATGTTTTAGGAAAACAAGAGTGCTGTGAATATTGCAGATCCTTTTGAAATAATACTCCTTTTATTTATCCAACTGCTATGTCCCTTCTTTGTTTTTCCTTCCTTCACTAGTGTATTTTATTTTCTTAGTTGATGAGCAGGCACACTGACTTTATTTATCTTTATTCCTGTATGTTGCCTGGCTCCTTTATAGAAACTTAATAAACACAGATTTTAAAACCATTTTGAACACAGGAAATACCTTCTGTTGCACAGTTTATTCTTTGATTCTCTTGCTGTTCAGATAATTATGTTTCTTTGATTTACCACAGTAATATAAGAAGCATAGCAACATACTTGTTGGTCCTTGCATTGAATAGGGGTAGATGAGAATAGCTACAAATTATGAGATTGCACTTTTTAAATGAAAAAAAAAATCTACATATCTGATCTACTTCATGTGTCTTAGGCATGGTTTGATAGAGAAATGGGAACGTTTGAAAAGGTAAATAAAAACTTCGAGTGTTTTGAAGTACGATCAGAATACAATGAAAAGACATTGCCAGGGTATATATTTTTCTGAGCTGATATGCCTTTGGCCTCTGGAAGATGATATATTTAGTGTCCTGTAGTGAGGAGACTTGCAGGCTGGGGAGCAGTCTTGAGAGTGAATCCCAAGAGGGCTTCACAACTGTACTCTAAGGCAGAAGAACAGCTGTGCTCAGGATGGAATGAAGAAGAACCATGCTGTGTAAACAGATGAATCAAAGTAAGAAAAATAGAAAATTAAAACTTTCAGTTTTGGAGTAAAGTTGAGACAATAATTTAAAATGCAAGCTGTTACTGTCATTGGATGTCAGATACAGTGTTATAGGCTAAAGTTGAAATGGTAATTCAGTTTGAAGCTTTGGGATTTCTTTTCAGATTTTTCTCTGAAATATTCTATAATGCATTACTCATTTGTAAGTACGAAAAGCAAGTAGACTGTAAACGTCTACATAAAACATTGCAAACTGGACATATTGCATACTTTTATATACTAAGTCATAAACGTAGTAATGGTTTTTTAATTCACTAGTATTTTTAAAATTCTTAGAATGCAAATTATAGCTGTGCCTCATATTTTCTTCTAAACTTATTGTAGTGATTTAGTAAAAGTTGTGAAAGAAAGTTTCATCGATTTGTCTATCTGGTGCAATAATACTATAGTGTTTGCATTTTAAAGGACTAAAATATTATTTAAATAATCAATCCTATTACTAAGCCTGGCATGTAACAGGCATAATTTGTACACAACGTGCAGCCTTTCTAGTAATTAAAAGATCAAAAGAAAAGAGTTGAAATAATTTCAAATAAAGCCATATTTTGATTGTATAGCATACAGGTATGTGAATATAGGATTCAATTCTTTATTTCAACCATTTGTTTCTTTGCTTCAATTTTCCTGGACTAGTCCACCTTGGAAACATCAAATTTTACTCAGAGGCTGCTGGAAACAATTCCATAACTAATCTCATGATTTTCTTGGCCGCATTTCCAGCCTCTCCCAGAATTCTGCCTGTAGTTGTTAAAATGAGCACACCTTCTTTATTTCTGAAAAAAGAAAAAAAAATCACGGGGGGTATTTGCTTTTTTGTATATGTCAGGAAGCATCTGTCCCTTGGGGGAATGTATACTGTGTAGTCAGCAAATAGTCTATAGTAGTGCTCCCCAACCTTTCTGACTTGGTGGCCTAGCGAGGGGAGAAGAGAGGGGATTATTCCCTGAGAATGGCAGACGGGCATGCAAAGGCATGTGCAGCTCCATTTGTGTGAGCAGCAGGTGTGTTCACCTGTCTCTCGCACAAATGGAGCTTTGTGCACAAGCGCAAGCGGTCGCCACTCGTGTGAGGGGCACTTTGTGCACAAGCACAGGACAGCCACAGCTCACCTGAGGAAAGCTTCATGCATGCGCAGCCCGGTTCCAAATAGGCTGCGGTCTGGGAGTTGGGGAACCCTGGTCTATAGAATTATGAATGTACGTTAAGCAAGCATAATTATTATTTTACCTTTTTTCTTTTATATTTCAGTTTCTAAAAGGCATAAAATAGTCAAATTTATTTTTACAGAATTTATTCCCCCCCCTCCACTTCTCCTCCCCCCATTTTCTTTGTATACATAGTACCTTCTTGGATTCCGGAACTCGTAAAGCTATGGGAGAACAGGCTGTAGCTCTTGCCAGAGCTGTAAAATACTCATCAGCAGGAACAGTGGAATTCCTTGTAGATTCAAAAAAAAATTTCTATTTTTTGGAAATGAATACCAGACTGCAGGTACGTGGGATAGAAAAGATGGGAGGAGGGGAATGTGTTTACGATTCAGGTGGGATTAGAAATGATTTTGTAATGCTAAAAAATATGCATGACTGTATTTTCAATTCCTTCAAACCCAACCGTTAAGAAAATACTTTGTCCGAGGTAGATTTCCTCTTCTAAATATATATTTATGATAGAAATCTGTTCAAAAATAATATTTTTAGTTAATTTTTAAATCTTGGTAGTAGATAAAAGTAATGACTAAGTACTTCTGTTTCAGTCCACATGGGATGTTTATGTCAGTCATGTGTTCTCTCATTTATTGAAACACTATAAAGTAGATAGTTTCTGTTCTGCCAATAACCTTGGAAGGAGGTTACCATGACTTTAGAAACATGTCCTATATACCCTGTTGCATTAAGTTGAGACATTTAAACACACAGCTAAGTTGCTAGACCTCTGTTCACAATAACTTTTATTATCAAAAATATTTTTCAAGTTTGATTTTACTTGGAGCCCCTCCTCTCAGTTAAATGTTCTGAACGGTGTGCTGTAGGAATGTACGGTGACAATGTTCAGTTAACTTCCTTTCTTGCTTTGCTAGTGAAGGGGTTCTAACAGTTCTGTTTCTGTTAAGTGCAAGTTCATAGTTGATTGGAATAGTACAGGTAGTTCTCAACTTATGGAAACAATCAGGACTGAAATTTTCATTGTTATGCAATGATGTTGTAAATGAGTTCCAATGAGTTCCAATTCCCAATGTTAACTGAATTCCATGGTGATTAGGCATGGCAATTTCCTTCCGGCTTTCCACAATCAAAGTCAATGGCAATCATGGCACGAAATTGTAAGATATGTGAGTGGTTGGTGTGGTACAAGCTCAGAGGGACTGGAGGAGAGGGCATGAATGGGGGACACCTACTCCAGAGACTTGCAAATTTTCCTCCTTCTGGGGAAGCCAGCAAGGAAGGTCACAAATGATAATTATGTGATCATGGGGCATTGCAACTAATTGAAATTGGAAGCCAATTGCCAAGCATCCAGATTGTGATGATGTGACCATGGAAGTGCTGGGATGGCCGGAACTCAAAGGATCAGTTATAATCACCATTTGTTCAGCACTGAGGTAACTTGAATGGTCACTGAGTGAAAGGTTGTAGAATGAGGACTGCCTGTAAGCAATGGTTTACTGTAGATTGTTATTGGATTTTATAATATGTTTGCCTGTATTGAGAAAGAAGAGTGTCGGAAAGACGAACTCTGATGCTTACTGGTATTTCTTTTGCAATGGCAAGGGTTTGTTGTTTTATTTGCTATTTTGAGCTTAATGTCTATTTCACTATTTCATTGTGATCACTGAGGAACAATGGAAGCGAAAGCCTTTCCAGATGGAGAAACCACTATAGTTGGAAAGAAAGATTATTTAAATGTTGTTTAGACAATTTGAGAAGATTTGTTCTTTCCAACTTTATCAGAAATATACTAACCTTTAATTAGAATGTTTGTCAAGTACATTTCTCTAATTTTTCTGTCTTGGTTGCATATTGCCTCTAATTAGTGTTTCAGTTTGAAGTTGGTGAGTAGCAATCTTACTGGCCTCATCACCAGTTTTCCCAGTTGATTTGTCACTTTTCTCCAGCCTTCAAGTTTGATGTCAGTTAGCAGACCTATATCTAGTCGTTCTTTTTGTTTTTCCCCCCACAAAGAATCAAATTTTAAAATCCCGATGACCCCCCCTCCCCATTTAACTCTACAATTATAACATTGCCAGATGTGTTTTTGCTGACAGTCACTTTGAATGGGGTTTTCTCCTCCTCCCACTAGTATCTAAGTTTGGTGTTTGGCATTTCTTTTTCTTGCATACTGCCTTATCTATATTATTAGTGGCTGCATTATAAATGGCTCTCCTTTTTAATCCCTTGTGCAGGGACCCTCTTTTAAAACTAGTTATAATTTTTTAAAAAATATTTATTTAGGAGCAAGTTCAACTTATGTTGTATTTCTTTCTTGCTTTTTAATTTAGTTCATTAAATGATCACCCATTTTTTCTTTACTGTAGTAATGCTATGCTGATGCTAGAAAACAACAGATAACATATGGTACATACGATATGGGAGGCATGCCTATTGCAGAGAAAATGACAATATTGCATAAAAACTGATATTAGAAGCTGTTGCCATTCCGATCTGGCAATTAGCAGTGGTCCATGTCTCATTGCCATTTAGCCACGTACACACAAATTTTCAGAACTGTCTGAGTAATGTATTATACTGGAAACATAATGCCAAATTCTCATTTGATCTACATATAAAAATGTGTAAATGAAAAATGTTCTTCTGTACTGACCCTTTAGCTAGATATACTCTTTGAATGTGTTTTAAGAAATCCTTGATTTTGGCTATTTTACCAATAACTATACTCACAAGTTTCTTTTAAAGAAGAATTGCCTTTTGAAAACAAAGATTGACACAAATATAAAGAATCAAATTATTCAAATAGTTTTTAACAGAATAATATGATTCATAAAGGTAATGGTTACCTACATTTTCCTAAGACTGACTAGAAATGTGAGAATTCAGGCCATGATTAAGCCTGCTTAGGTCTGGAAATAGATCACTAAGGAAATGGGCTTTTATCGAACTGAAAGATGGTAAAACATTTGGACTGAGGGGGGGAAAAAGAGAAAAATGTAAGCAGAAGGGCTTTATAAGGGGACAAATGTTTAAGATGCCACAAACAGTTTCATCTTCTGTTGATGTAGAGCAGAGGTGTCAAACTCAATTACGTCATGGACCGGATCATGACATAATTGTGATGTTTTTTGCCTTTGCGGAACTGGGGTGGGTGTAGTCTGCACAGGCCATATCCGGCTCGTAGGCCGCCAGTTTGACAGGCCTGATGTAGAGGATTACAGAAATGGACTTGAATAAAATAATAACTGTTGGGAGGACTTCAACGAGAAAATGGAAAGATGTGAGGAAGAAACTCAGATTGTTCCACCTTGATTTTCTTTGATTTAAGAGAGAGGGAAGGAGCTTTAAAGATTTTGTTGTTATGGCCTGTATCAATAAAGTGGATTTTTTTGGTATGTGTTTTGGTGCCTGTTTCTTGACCTGGCGTGCCTCAAAGGGGCTGACACTTGATATGCAAGCTTTAGCCAATATGATCATCTCAGCACCTGAATACTGCGATGGATCTTTAGCTGAAGCATTTTTGGCAGACAAACTTCCAAGCATTTAAGAAAGAGTTTGTTATGGCAATTTTCTCTCTCTTTGGCAAATGTTTTATTTGAATTGTGGTTTTTTTTCTTCATAAAATAATTGCAGTATGTATCTCTCATTCTCTTTGGAACAATGGTACATGATTTAACACTACTGAAACTGGATGAGCTCTGAGGCAATCTTGGTTTGAAATGGGTACGTCAAACAACACTTGGAGAAGAGTGGATGTTGATTATTTGGTGTGTAACAGTTACACCCTTCCACCCAAACATTACAAAGGACAGGATTTCCCTTAGAGGAGGAAAAATTCTGACAAAAGTATAAGGAAATGTCTTTTCTATTGAATAAGGCTACAAAGAGAATTGCAAAAAGGTTTCATAAATACTTTTCTAACATGAATGTAGTTTAGGAAGAAAGAATGTAGTTTAAGAAGAAATTCTAATGACAAAAGCATTGCTTTTGGTGTTGGCATATGCTTTAATATGATGGATATATTAAATTATATTAACTTCAGTCAGATTCAGCATGTCCCTTTGCAGTTAGCATTTCACTTTCATGGTCTATTCAAGTATAGAGAATTTCGAGACAGAGTTGAACAATTGGTCCTCTGTGTTTCTGTTCAGAATTGAAACAATATTTGCAGTAGATTTAAACCAGAATTTTTTCTCATGTCAGACATATATAACTTAGTACAATGTGCAAAAGATGGTAAGCATGGTTTTAAACCAATAATGTTTGATTGCTATGAACACTAGCTAGAAAGAATAGAGGAAAAGAAAATTCTTAATCTTTTTCCTGACCTGATAGAGGGGCTTTAGTTCTTCTCTCTTTACTGTACCCTCGTAGATTAGCTGTTTCATGACAGCTGGAAAAAAGGCAGAATCTGGTGGAGCCTAACTCTTGGAAAAGTTAATTATGGTTTCCAATTTGCTATAATCTGATGGAAAATGGCTGCTGGAAATAGAAAAATAAAAATGCAAAAATTAATAAATTCACTGTTAAAATAACAATGACAGTGTGTGTATGCTGTTCTTAGTATGAAAATAAACATAGAATAAAAAGACAATTAACTATTGTTTCAATCAAATGATTTTATTGTTGAAATATCCAACTGTTTTTGCATGTATTTTGCTTCCCCACTTTTTACAAGAAACTATATTGATGGAACAGGCAGTAAGGTTTTTAGAGATAGTGATTAAACTAATTATATAAATGTTGATAAATATTAAAGCTGCAGAAATATTTTGCTTTGAGAATCAGTTTCTACCTAGCTTGACCATAAAAAAATGAAACACTACTTTATGGTAACTATGGTAAAGTTATTATATTTCATATTAGAAAGAAAACTCAATTTAAAAAATACAATAAAATGACACAATTAGAATGATTCAGAAGTTTCAGGTATATTGAAAAAAGTTTCAACAGTTACAGTTATTTTAAAAAAGATTTTTAAAAAGCCACATTTCCTGAGAAAATAAATATGTTGATAATTTACATATTTGTTGATAATTTAAATATTTGATAGGACAGAGCTTCAGTGTAGATGAAGAATTTTCTTGGCATTTCATCAAGGGTCTTAATAAGATTGATATACCTGGAAAGTATCAAGTATTTGACACTGAATCCTAAAGGAAGCGTCTTAATCATATAATAAAACCTTCATTTTAATATAATATTTAGAATGGGGCTTATTTCAGTGATGTCACTGAAACAGCTAAGTTATCTTAAAATATGGTGGTGTAAAATTTTAAATGCACAGAGAGCTAATTATAAGTGCCATCTGTTAATTTTACTCCTTTTTTTGGCAAAGACCATTATGGAGATATTACATCCGACAAAATGTTATCCTTCAATTATGTACTTCAAACAAATACTTCATTTGTTCAGTGACCTTTTTTGTGTCACAAATGCATGAAGTATGACAACTCTTAACGGATAAATGTTTGTGAAATAGTGTTTCTTAAGACATAGTATTTCAAAGACATAGTATTTCAGCTGCAATAGCACTTTACAATAAAACGAAATGATTACATCCTTCCTTCCTTCCTTCCTTCCTTCCTTCCTTCCTTCCTTCCTTCCTTCCTTCCTCCCTCCCTCCCTCCCTCCCTCCCTCCCTCCCTCCCTCCCGCCCTCCCGCCCTCCCTCCCTCCCTTATTATGCTAAATTGCTCTTTAAGTGTACTTATTTTGTCATTATTTAAACATTTGCAAAGTTAAATATACATTACATAAATCTGTCTTACTAGTCAGAGCAACTCTTGCACAACCTCTCCTTTTTGGCTTAACTGGGAGTGAGGGTATTCCCATGACAGCATCATCCTGAGTTGTTAGCAGCTATTTGTTGAGAGCATGCAGTGATTCTACTGGTCCAGCTCTGCTATTATGCATGCTAAGCATTACAGAGATAAGTCTGTATGGAAAAAAAACAACAACCCTGAAGTATCCATCTGCTCATTTCTGCTACACTGCATTGATGTAAGATTACGCTAATCTCGTTGCTTGTCAGGACAGGTTAGTGAAAGCAGGCGTGTGGGTAAGACTTAGCTAGTCTGATTCTATGGAAGATTGTAGGCTGCTCCTGTACATGCCATGTTAAGTGTAGCAGAATGGGTTGATTATCAGCCAGCTTTTTGAGATTCAGTCAAAATGCTTTTGAATTTCTAGATTAGAAGTTGTTCTCTTTTTTAAAGTCACTTCCCCAAAACGTATTCTTATCTGTCCATCCATCTATCCAGTCTGTTTTAGCCATTATCTGCAATTATTTTTTGCTTGATTTTTTTGTATATATCTATTTTCTGCAACAAATAATAGTCATATAGTTTCTGTACGTCGTGTGACAAAGAGGGCCATCCATATTTCCTATTGTAAATTAACTCCCACCCAATTTTGTTAATCAGGTTGAGATATGAGAAAGTTGTGTTGTTACTGACTGACTGACAGTTCTTAACCTTGCAGGTTGAACATCCCATCACAGAATGCATTACTGGTTTGGATCTGGTCCAAGAAATGATCCGTGTTGCTAAGGGATACCCTCTTAGGCACAAGCAGGCTGATATTCCCATCAACGGCTGGGCAGTTGAATGTCGAGTATATGCAGAGGTAAAAAATAACTCTTAATAGCTGGAAAGAGAATTGCTGTAGAAGAAACTTGTTAGATGTTGGGAGAAGCTAGGATTTATTTTTATCTTGTTCCAGTCCATGTGCATGAATGAAGTCCCCCCCCCCCCATTCATTCTATAAAATTCTCTATGATCTAGAAAATAATATATTGGGGAAAAGATTATAATGGTATTTCAACATTTTATATAACTTTGCTTATTTAGGAAAGCAAAAAAATACTGAGCCCTTAAAAAATGGTCTGAAAAGACAATGTGGTTGCTTTACATTTCCAGGAGATATTATAGACTATATATCAATAATAGGCTGTGTGGTTAAATATTATAACCAATAATAGTATTTTTAGAACATCCTTTTTATTTGGAATTGATCAAGTTAACTTTTATAAATGGTGCCACTGGTATATGAAAGCAAAAGTTGAAGAAGTTGTTTTCTATTTTAAAGTCACTGTTAGAATAATTTTTTCAGTTCTCTTTATATTGAATAACACAGGTTATTTTATGTTTTTTTCCTGTTTACTCTTTTCTTCTGAGTGTTCTTAAATGACTGAGAATTTGAATGCAATCATACATACAATAATTTGGATCAAACAGTTCGATTGCATTTATACTGGGATGCATGTCTTAAATATAACAGTGTTATTAATTTATATACGGTATGATCCTAAAAACTTGAGTCTTGTATACAGTTCCAGAAGTACTTATCTGCAGAGTATTACTCTGTGTGTGTGTTTCTGTGTGTGTGTGTGCACCTGCGTTTGCATGTGTGTGTGTGAATGTGGGGAACGTGTGCTCTTAGCTTGCCCCTTAGTATTGTGCTTTCTTTTAGAAAGGTTGCCCTTGCTTTAATAAAGGCACAGCAGGAAGTTTTTAGCTTTAACAAATCTTCCATGACTTGAATGGAAGAAGCAGTTTCATAACCCTACTAAAATAAGTCATTTTGAGAACAAAATATAGTTGGTCCATATTTAAAGTGGAGGAAATGCTTAGTTTTCCAGTGGCTTAACCTTGCTTCCTGTGCTTTGTCTTACAAAGTTAATACCACTCTGTGTTTTGAATTTCATTTTAGGACCCTTACAAATCTTTTGGTCTGCCCTCTGTTGGCAGATTGTCTCAATACGAAGAGCCCCTGCATGTCCCAAATGTAAGTAATTCTGATGTTTTATTATTACTTATTTTCAAAGCATGAAGAATTCATAGATTTCATAGTGTTTTGCAGATTTAGAAGAATTCAGGACTTCTTAAGGCTAGTTGTTCTAAACTATTTCTATAAACCAAGGAGGAATATAGTTATTTATATTAATTAGTGATAATTAGAAATGAATTGTACTGTACCCAAAACAAACACAAACAAACAAACCTCCAAATGCCATATATCTTGGGATGTACATCTAAATAAACTCAACCATTCTACATAGTCATTCTTTAAAATGTTGGACTAGCCGTGACATAATTCTGGCTTTTATAATGGAATGCTTCTATTTAGATTTGAAGCTTTTTAAAAGCTGAAAGGTATTTTTCTATACATAGTGAAAAGTGCTTTATTATACTGTACAAGTTTTTTTTGGAGTTCTTGTTTAATTGGTTTTTATACAGAAGGCAAGTGCATTTCTGTTCTTCAAGGTAGCCAAAATATTGGGTACATAAGCATGGAATGGTGTTGGGTTTGTGAAATGACAAAGGGGATACTACTATAGACACGGTTATTTACCATTATTAGCTACATGGGGGAAATGGGGAAATGATATACTCCTGAATTTTAAATTTGGTGAAACTGAATATAGGATTTATTTGATTTCTAAAATTGTTTTTGCCTGTATGATTCCTATAGAAATTTGGCCCGGGGTGGTGGTGGGGAGGCTTTAAGAATTCAAGCTGTGTTTAAAAGCAGAAATACAACGTATAAATGTTTAGTAAATTCTATATGATATTAAATGGAAGATTTAAACACACAGGCACACATGTTACAGAATGTATCTTAATCATGTTTAATGAAAACCAAATGAACTAAGGAAGAATTTCCAGTAATTACTCTGGGGATGGGTCGAGGTTTTTCACCATCGTGTAATAGCTAACAGGATGTCAAATATTTTGCCCTTGCAAGTTTTTGCAATTTGCAATATTCTGAACATGAGACCTGTTGAAAGTACAAGTGATAATGGACAAACTCTACCTCCTATGGTCTTTGTCCCACCAAATCTTTCTTCAATTAATGCTGCAGCAGGAGTTTTATGTAATAACATTTGCACTTATGAGCCATCTAGAGAAAGAAAAAAACAATTAAAATACCTTAAATGTTCTGCTTACTGCTGTTATTTGCTTGTGCGAATGTTGCATGTCAGCTAAATGGATCACAAAATAGATAAAGTGATTGGGTGCAAGAGAGTGCATGCTAAGCTTTGTCTATCATTATTGCTGGGAGCAATCAAATTGATGCCAGCAGGACAGTAGATGCGTTGACAGCTGTAATTATGTATCTCCATGGTGATCACTTTTGGCCTGTCATGGAGGCCTGCAAGGCCCCTCCTTTGCAAGCATTTAATCAGATTGGGCTGTCACTTGTCAGGTAGACATGGTGGGTTGGGAGCTGTGCTTAGGGGAGAGGTGAATTGAAAATGAAGGGTGGGAGATGCCTGATAGATTCACATGCTCCATCATGATACTGAGGGAAGAAATTTTAATTATGTTGGACGCCTAAGAGTAATGATTTTTGAGGATTTCATATGAAGTGCCTGGGCCTTTCCTTTTTGGTGTGCTCTCACCACTGTGTTAAAATAGCACTTTTTTTTTTTACAAATTGTGTTGATTTATTTTGTTTTTCTTTTTATAAGCAGCAGGGCACATTTGAAATTAAGAGAATATTCTGTCAGTTGTACATGTCCTATAAATTTATGGAAACAGTACAGTATAACATTTCTTTGCATTTCCCTTATAAAGATTAATTGTTTCTTCTATTTCCAAAATTGACCAAAAGAGAATTATTTGCCAAAAGAGAAAGGTATAGTCAGAGAGGTCTAGTGATTAAAGTACCAGGCTAGAAACCCAAGAAACTGTGAGTTCTAATCCTGCCTTAGGCCACAAAGCCAGTCCCCCTGTCTCAGCCCAACCTACTCACAGGGTTGTGGTGGGGAAAATAGGGAGGAGGAAGGAATATTAGGTATGTTTGCTACCTTGAGTCATTTATAAAAATAATAATGGCAGGATATAAATAAACACTAAATAAATAAAAATAGTGCAGAAGTACAGTTGCGTTCAGTGATTAAAACTCCATGCTTGCAATGGTCATGAAATTGTTATTATTTGTTTAATATAAGTGTAATAGAGTTTACATATGAGCTCAGACTTGCCACAAATGAAGTAACAAGACATATCCTTGTTTATATGCACTCATGTTGTAAGACGCTTGGCAACAAATACTTAAAGTAGTGTTCCTCATTATAGGCAATTACATTTAATAACATAAGCGGTGCCCTGATGGTTTATTTAGTTGTTATTTAGTTTATTTGTGGCCCATTTAGTCATCCAGCAAGCTCTTCTCAAGGTGGACAACCAAATGCACAAGAAAACCTAGTAGTCTCCCAGTTGAAAGCCTTCAGAGACAGTCAGAATGCCATCAAAGCTAATTTCAAGCTCTCCAAATTCTCCAGCTATCACGATCACTGTTGAGAATTTTGAGAATTGAAATCCACACATCTAGATATTGGTCAGATTGAGAAGCTTTTGGGGGTTAATGCCTGTGTATGGAATGGAGAACTTGCTCTTAACCTCGGTGTTGGGATCCTGTGGCAATTTTATTACATAGATTCATACCTTGCCTTCAAGAAAAGAAGGTGACTAGATTTTTCATTTCATTTTTCAGTAGCACTGACCTTTATGTTGATAGGAAACATTCTTTTATTATTCTAATAAAATAAACAAGCTTTCTCTGCCCTCACAACTTAAGATGTTATATGTTAGGAACCCTAAAAGCCGTATTGTAAACACAACAAAAATGATTGATAGTCAAACCCACTGAAATTCAAAAATAGCTTTCACTTTTTAATGGTTTATGTTTATAATCCTGCATTTTTTCTATCTCTGGTATGTATTTATACATGATATTTGCCCTTAAAATGTCTCAGAAGTTGCTTGATCCTAAATAGAATTAACTAAAAAATACATTTTTCTGGTGCTATGGACAGAGACTTGAAAATCTTGAGGTTAATAACTGTAGTTGCTGTTACTGTTAAACTTCATTTGAAATAGCCTAATATTATTTATAACATATTAGAGTGTACTTGCATTAATGTATCATTTAAAAAACAAAAACAAATTTACTACTTGAGGGAAATTACAAGAATAAAAATATATGTAGAATATTACAAAATTACTGGTGTCAAGTTTTCCTGAGCTGTTAAACCTGTTTCATATAGCATTATCCTAGATACCTAGTTTCCTATATACAGAGGGAAATTATCTGTGTTTTACTATTTTACTGGAAATTAGGATTAAAATGTAATATGTTCACTCAAGGCTATATACCATCAAATTGAAAACTGACTATAATTTTTCTTTTAAATTTTAAATTTTGATTCTCTCTGTCGGTTTATTTTCATGTGTTTTGCAGCCAAGCAAAAGAACCTCTAGTCTCAGGAAACATTAATAACAGTATCAACTTCCTATTTTTAAGATGTAGATATTAACATAGGAAGCCCTTAAGAAGAAGACTGAACCATAAAGTTCACTAAGGTTTCTGCAAAAATAGAACCATTCAGTAAATAAAAATCCTTTTTTACCTATGTAACAGCACTGTTTTACTATCCATTAAAGTAATAAAGTTACAGTATCCTATATGATCCGTATGGAATCTTAAATATAATGTAATGTATTCAATGGCATTAAAAATGCTTTTTCCAAAGGCAATTGGACTTTCTTAGCTTTTTTCTTTGAAAACATTTTGCTTCTCATCCAAGAAGCTTCAATGACCTGCATGATTAAGAATCTCCATAGACCAGGGGTTTCAAACTTGTGGCATCACGTTGTCATCACCTGACGTATCACGACTTTCCCACCCTTCACTAAATGAGGGTGGTGTGGCCAGCGCATGATTATCTGGCCTGAGGGCCGTGAGTTTGACACCCTTGCCATAGATATTCAGACATCATGAACATACCTTTTTCCATTTACAAAGTTCAAAAGTTTGCAATTTTTTAATCGTCACAGCCTTGCTATGTTAGCTTGCAAATAATAGTGCATGTTTGGAACGTCAAAGGCATAACTAATTCAAATGATTGCTGACACATTGTTGCATAACAAATCTTGTTTCATGAGGAAATATATTCCCTTATTTTTGGGTTACTCTGGCTTCCTTTTTAATTCTTTAGCTTACATTTTTTGAAAAGGTATACAGTATGTTTATATTGGAAAATTACTTTATTCCCTTCCTTGTTTTGTTCTTAAAAATTCTAATTTTTAAGTATGTATTTTGTGGTGAGAGTGATGCAGAATTTTGAAAGTTAGTTTCCTTTTGAACCTCAATAGTTGTGCTTGCATATTTTCTCTTCTCCTGTGGAATGAGGATAGCTAAAATCATTGTTTTGATGACTGGGCATTTCTAAGGCATCTTGTTTGTTTTCTAAAGAAGGTGCTTGACAGTTGCTGTTTGAATTAAGAAGCCTGCATTAATAAATGTGTAATTATAAAGCACAATCCATCTTTTTTTTTCCATCATGGAAGAATGTGATGCAGTTTTCATAGAGTAAAGCCTATTAGGACATGTCATTTGGATAATAAAGTCATCAGTGTGACCTCATGTGGATATTGTAGACAAGAGGTTCTACATCTGGTCCCTTGATAATTGCCTAAATTAAAATCTAAAAGCCTAACAGCCGTTGGGTTGACCTCTTTCTGCCTTGTTGCAGACAGATGAACTGCTGTTTTATTACAAAAAAATTCTTTTCCCCAGGTGAAGATTGAAGGGAGTTTCTAAGCTGCTTCTTTCCCTCAGTCCTCCAAACCCAAATGCAATATTTTGTGTTACATCTCTTTTACCTCATCAGGTTTAGTTTTTCTTCTCAAAATTATCAGACTATTAAATTATCTTATTTTTTTAAAAAAATAAAAGTCTATGTGTTTCATTTAACATGCTTTACAAATTTCAAAACCAGCAAGGATTTATTCTGGAATTAGTTATTTAATAATTAATATTTATTTTTAATATGCAGCCTGGTAAAAAGTAAGTAGGAGATTAAAATTATATTAATGAATAACACTAAGTTTTGTTGGTTAATTAAGTTACCAGATTCTTCAAACAGTTCAGTAGTTACTAGAGTCTTGTATGTATGTGTGTATGTGCACACATGCCTTCATATGTCGATGTATTTATCTTTCCCACCCAGTCTATGAAAACCTATTTAAAACTGTAACCTTGCAGAACATAACTGCAAAAACTCTCTGAACGTCACTAGAACTGCATATTTGAGAGAAATACAGGTTTCAGATGAGAGTGAAACAGAAAAGGAAATGGTTGCATTTATGAAAGTTAGAAACCAAGAATTAATAGAAGCTAGCTTATCAGTTCTAAAGTTTCTTTTTGGTATACCTGAGTATTCTTCTGGAGTAGTAAAATCCTGGGTGTAGTAAGATATACATAATGTAATTACAGAACACAGATATTTTTTGTGTAAGATGTTGGTAAAATCAATAACTACAAATATTTTTATGGCAATGATGAATCCCCTAGTGGAGGATTTAAGACTTAGATATCAAAATAGAGAGGTAAGATTTGTGGAAACTTTGCCTTATGGTCCATTGCAATAAATGCAATATTCAAAAGAATGGTCATGCTTACTACTATTAATAATAACTAACCCCAACCTCCTCCTATTATAAAACTAATTTATCCCAATTTGTTCTAGGTTCGTGTTGACAGTGGCATACAGCAAGGAAGTGAAATCAGTATTTATTATGATCCCATGATTTCAAAAGTAAGTTACATTTTTATCCATTGAAATACGCATGCTATTTTTAACGTATGTATATAGAAAAGTGCAGTTTTCTCATAAGAAAGCTAAAGAGAGTCCTTCTTTTGGTAAAATCTTTGCTATCGTGATCCATTGAAAATATATAATTATTTCATGCTGGTTACCTCTTAAAATGCATTTTTGTTTCATTCTGTATGGTAACAGGATACTATTTCAGTAGAATATAACTTATTTTTGGAATGACATTATTTAAAAAAATAGCTTTATTTTGAATTCAAAAATCTTATGTTTCTTAAATTACTACAAACTTTTAAAACATCCTTCTGAAAAGTTGAGAATTAAAATTAGGCAATTCATCACAGTGTTTTGTGAGCATAAATCTTTTTGTTTAGCTTTCAGTTTTAGTAGGGACAATAGTGACATCTGAGTTGACTGTGTTTTACACTTTTTAAATCAAAGTATAAACAAGTCTTTACTTCCCTTTTCTTTATGTCTTTGACCAAGACACAATTAAACCTGAACATTTCTAATAAACTATTAATTCCTATTTATCTAAATTGGGACATTATGATAACAAGGTTCTGAAAAGTCATAATATTAAATCATGATTGTTTTCATAACCTGGTTTGTTTTGTAATAATAACTGAAGCTTGCTACTTTGTAAGAGCACTAGTTAGAGTTTTCCATTCTTAATTGAAAGGTACAAAAAACAAATTCTTATTCTGATTAATTATCTCGAGTTGTGGCATCCTGGGCTTAGCTGTTTAACCTGAAGATGGTTAAGCTATAGTAGAATGAACTATAATACTTATAGATTCTCGCAAACCTCATGGTTTCTAGTTTGTTTGTTTGTTTGTTTATTTATTTATTTATTTATTTATTTATTTATTTATTTATTTATTTATTTATTTGCTTTGTCAATCGCTTACAAGATAATAAGTATAAGTATAAACATAGTTATGAATACATGAAATGGATACATATAAGAAAAATAAAAAGAATCAATAGGACAGGGACGGTAGGCATGTTGGTGCGCTTATGCACGCCCCCTACATACCTCTTAGGAAAGGGGTGAGGTCAATAGTAGACAGTCTAAGGTTAAAGTTTTTGGGGTTTGGGGAAGAAACCACAGAGTCAGGTAGAGTATTCCAGACATTGACCACTCTGCTTCTGAAGTCATATTTCCTGCAATCAAGTTTGGTACGGTTAACCTTGAGTTTGTATCTATTGTGTGCTCTTGTGTTGTTATGGTTGAAACTGAAGTATTCATTGACAGGAAGGACATTGCAATTTTATTGCATTGTATCTTAAAAGGATTAAAATGTGTCTTGTTTTTGTTAATGACTGTACTTTAATGTTTTGCTGGATACCAAGCTCAATTTCTTATTAACATTGGCGTATTAAGTCTGTTCCTTTAACTATGTCTGAAATTGGATGTCTCAAAATTAATTAATTGGACAAGGTTTGGTTACAACAAACTGTAGCTAATTTGAAACAGAAGGAAAAGATTCTATTTTTTTCATAGTTAAGCTGGTTGAGAGGACTACTGTGCTACAAAGAAAAAGAAGCCTGCTATATCAGGCCAAGGCCCATTGTAGTACAACACATTGTTTCCCACACCAGCCAATTTAGATGATTGTAGAATGGTCTCAGACAAGTGGTAGAGGCGTACTTCTCCTCACTATTTCCGCTCTACAATTAGCATTTGGAGGCATATTACCTCAGGCCAGGAGTAATATTGCACCCTCAGTAGTAAAAATCCTTGACATCTGATGTCCATGAATGTATCCTGACTCTTTTTAAAGCCATTCAAATTATTGGCTATCACAAGATTTTGTAATGAATTCCACAGGTTAGTTTGTTGTTTTCTTGTTGTAATAGACTTTCTACTTTCCAGCAGAAAACTTTACAGAAGTTTATTCTGTAGCACAAAACTGTAATAGAAGATTATCCAGAGAGTTATGTTGGTCTTTTCTTTAGTATGGTTGATACTTCTTTGTAGTGTAGAATACATTTCAGCTGAACCTCATTACCTCATGTCCTCTAGCCATTATAATTCAAAGCATCTGTCTCTTTTGTTTTTGGTTTCTTTTATTTTAATCATCTCTATTTTGAGAAGTTTCACCATTTGTATTCAAATGTGACTGTGTTTCCATCTAGTTAACAATTTCCATTACATCAAAAGCTAGCTATAACACCATTGTGATCTGGATTCCTTATTGGTTTTACAATATCTTGCAGTAGTGCACAAACACCAGTTAAGATTTAATTTAGAATTGCATTTTCTTTGGCTGTTTCCAAGATCAATATTCTAAGGCACAGAATTTGATTTTTAATAATTTTATTACTTTTATACTCAAGTTACATGTATTAAAGACATCTGCAATTGAGCAGCTAATTATCAATTTCTTTGGAAGTATTGAAAAGGAAGTAATTTCTCAGGAGAAGAAAATAGAACTAGCAAAACTTTTGACCTGACAAGAAATTAGTGGAGACAATATAATATATGAAAGTGGGGAAAATCCAGATAGATTTCCAGTTGAATGGAACAGAAATTTTGTAGATATTTTAACAGCTATATTGTTAGTGGTATATAATAAATAATGCAATCTTTCTATATTTCTCCTATCATTTTATATGACCTATATTATAGTATAGGGAAGACCTTCCTGGGTGTGCAAACTAGAGATTAGAATCTTGGCTCGTGGTGGATGTTTAACTGCAATACTATCCAGAAAGCCATAGAAAGTAATACCACTGATAATTCCCCATCTTGATTTAGATTTATAAAAAATAGACAAGCATCTGATAATAACCATTCTAGGACTGATATTTTACACACTGTAGCTGATAAATTAGTACCAATAGAAAATAATATTTGTAGCTCAGAGTTGAACTTTGGGGTTCTTGGTGCTCTCTGAGTTTGGTGGTTTTCTTGCCCATATTTCATAGTATATAAAAATAAGAGCAAACCTTACTCTCTTCAAGCACTGATGATGTTAACTTGGCTTGATAATGAAATATCTACAAGAAAACCACCAAGCTCAGAAAGCACCTGTGTGTTGTGTCCCTTTTCAAATGTGGTTTAGCCACATTAAAAAAAAATGTTTTAGTTTTCCATATGATATTCCCAGTGTTTATTGATAGGATGGGATCGTTGGATCTACTCTAATTTTATTTTAAGCACACACACAAATAAAAAAAATTATCTTCCAGGCTCAACCTAACAACATCAGTATCACTGCCAGTCAATTTTGTCTTTTGTTGTTCAACTACAAACTGCACTCCTCAAAAAAGTTGGGATTGTTCTTTACTGTTTTATCATATGAGTGGTCAGAAATCATGTAACTATCGATTCTATAGATGCCAGTTTGTCAGAAGTTGATAAATGGTCTCATAAAATCACCAGATGTAGAATGTGATGTAGGAATCTGCTTGAACTGCACCCTGCCAGTGCTGAGAGAAAAAAACTAGAAATATGTATATAACTTACGTTTTGGATATCATATTCCTAATTTGGAATAAGATTTATGGACACAGTATGCAGTGAGGGTTGTATGTTGTCATACCTTCATTTGGCAAAAATAATAGACAAAATTCTAGCTTAACAGAAACCATAAAGGTTGAGGAATGAACGTATGTATTGAAACTTAATATTAAAAAGGAATTGTGAAATAACCAGCATGTTTGAGTCAAAAAGATTTTGGTTGTTATAGAGTTCATTTTTTTTTAATGTGTGTTCTAGCTGATCACCTATGGATCCAACAGAAATGAAGCTTTGCAGAGAATGGAAGAAGCCTTGGATAATTATGTTATAAGAGGTAAATTACAAATATAATTTTTCTAGGGATCATGGCTTATTTAACTGTCTTAAATCTTTTATAGTTCTATTTTAACAAAGTTTAAGCTAACTTTATAAAGTTATGTTATATGCTATATTGGTTCTAATGTTTTATAATACTATATGATATTTACTATCATTCTGGTCAATGGCTTCCTTCCTTCCAAAATGGAACAATTTGGTAACAGAATACAAACATGTTTAAATGAAGCATTAATCTCTTTGCATCTGCAGTGACACAATTAGTTATTCAGACATTTTCTGTATAAGGACAATTGAGTCTAGTAAGCTTTAAATATTATTTTTTGTCAAATAAAGCATTATTTAAAATATAATAAGGTTTTTTATTGATAAACATATCTTCTCGTTGTCTACAAGAATTCAAATCTAATTCTTTTTTTCACTCAGTTGTTAAAATTTGAATATCAAATTGTTTCACCACTAACAATATTTTATCAAGCATGATGGAGAGAAAGTTTCCATCGGATTTATTAATTGCCTGTAAAAGATTAGGTATTTCTAAGACTGAAAATGTTGCAAGCCAGGCTGAAAGTAGGTATTGTAAATACTGCTGTTGATCCATATGAGGCAAACAACATTTGCACTAAAGTGAAAAATGATTTTAAAAATTGTCATTTTCTTGTGTTAATTAATCTAAAGTATAAATCCCAGTTTCCAACAAAATTTTCATATAATTAGTTCATAGCATCAAAGCATGAAAAAAACAACCAAAACAATCACTTTCCAGAGATAATGTACCGTGTTTGAAATGGTAAATAAGATGGTATTTTGATGTCAAGAAAATCCAGCTAGATCAATTTTGCAAATATTTCACAACAATATTTTTAATTAAAGTATAAGATGAAGAACAGTTTACAGACCTTCTAATTTAGTTTATTTAATGAGGTTTACTATTTTCCCTTTCAGTATTATAAACTCAGAACAAGAAATGAAATGCAAGATTTTCGTACTAAAGAAATACTGTATATTATAATATCTTTATATAGTAATTGAATTAAAGCTTAGATATTTGAGAGGAAGGTTCAAATCAGGAAAAAAAATCACACTGCATGTTAGCATCTCTGAATTTTGGCTAGGAGTCCTAAAGATGATATTCCTCATTTATCTAGTTTGAGCTGGATGGAGTCTGTGTATCTTGTTAGCATTGTATAAAGTCTTCCTGCAACTGCTAGTTTCATTGGGCCATTTTTTCTTAAAACATCATTCCTTTCTGAAATTGAAGCAGTCAGATTGCTGTGAGGAAACTTTGTTTTGCACTCTTGGAAAAGATTTGGTTTTAGATTGCTACCATGTATGAAAATTATAAGTTTTAATAAAATGGTTACATAATGCAGAAGTAACTTAGCAAAATGCATGGTTTACTTTCTGCGTTTAACTACACGCGGAAGCAATAGTAATATTTGCAGGTACTTAATCAAGCCTACATAATTCCACTCTTGCCTGTAATGCTAGTGTTATTAAGAATGATTAAAGGACACATTTTATTCTTCCTCCTAATTCTTTTTATGGAGAGTTATTATTATTTGAATACCAGTAGGTAAAGATTTGATGTGATAATATTTAGAAACAGAATTCCAGTGGAGCTGTTACATTTTTTTTTCATCTCCTCAAATAAGTTGTCTGCTTTTAACTTTCGTTTTTTTCCATTAGAGATAATTGTGTAATTCCAACACTGCTGGATTTCAAGGTTTTGACATCTTTCTTCCTAACCCCCATTGCTGAACTCCGATAAATCAGTGCATTAAAAGAAAGAAATGTAGAAAGCTTTCCCTCCTACTTTCCCTCTGCTTATATGACCTTTACTTCCAAGAAAGAGAAGTCTAGTAACTTGAGAGCTTTAGCACATGTTTCCTTCTTTAAAAAAAAAAGATCCAGCTGCTGAAAAATCTTGAAACTATATGAAATTGTGCTTTTTTAATGATATACTTTTATTTGGTAATTCTTATTTGGTAATTGTACATAGCTATTTTTTTCATCAGAATCATCAGTAATATAGAGTTTTAATTTGGCCATTTCTTTCTAGCTGTCCAGGTTGACATCTGAAAAAGATGTAGCATTGGCAAATGGTTACAAAAGCTGCAATATAATGGAGCACAATCTATGTATATAAAAGTGAAATACCACTCACGCATCATCACAAAACCTCCAGAACCGTAAAGCCTGCAAACTTGAAATTTGGCACATGTTCCTCTTGGCTTCTAGGTGCTCACTAAGAAAGGATTTTTCAAAATGACCATCAGAGCATTAGTATTTTGTATATTATTATTAACATGCTCTGATGCTAAGGAGTTCTACTCCCCCTCCCCACCTGAAAAGAAATCTGTTCCAAATGCAAAACACAAGCAGAGGAGAGGAGTTTCAGTTTCAAGATTCAGTTTCACAGCAGCAACCAGCTTTAGTACAGAACAGTTGAGCTAAGCCACGCCAGGCTGCTTGCTGTCTCCTTGCTCACACAGCAAATATTGATTCAGTTTCCAAACAGCCCTCAACTCTCTCACACACTGACAGGATGCTAGCCAGAAGAATACTGATGGATGCTGGTAGGCAGAGGCAGAATTTTTCCTCCTTATTTTCCTCCCCAAAAACAAAGCCTGACCACATAGTTTTGTAGCGAAGCACGGGTATTGAGCTAGTATAAAATACAGCTACTTTTACACATTTAGATAGTACATACAGAGTTTTGGCATGTTTAAAGAACTCCACAGTTGTATATTCATATCATTTTCTGATCAAGAACTAATAGGTTAATTTAGTGGGTGGAGAGATCAGAAAATGATATGAATATACAACTGTGGTAACTAAATGAGAAAATCCCTATATTTTTATTACTTGCATAATTCTTGTTTTAGGAAATGTTCAGTGTTTGGGTTCAGAATTGTAGCTAAAAATTATCTTATGTATAATATAAATTCTTGTTAAGAATGAAATATTTTAATGTATTTACAGGTAGTCCTCAACTTATAACATTTGTTTAGTGATTGTTTTACGTTACAATGGCACTGAAAAAAGTGACTTATGACCATTTTTCACACTTATGGCCATTGTATCATCCATTGCTTAGCAATGGAAATTTTCAGCTCTATTGTGGTCATAAGTCGAAGACCACCTGTACTAACTTACCTAAGTTTACATACTAACCAGCTTCCAAGACTGAGGCATTTATAGGTTCTATTCTTATTATATTGGCTACTTCTGCTAATTTTTGATCTTTTTAAATTTCAAAAAGTTAATATCACTGTATAAGTTGTAGCAATTAATATTATTATATATATTATTAAATGACTACCTTTGATCCACCTGCCATCAGTTCTTCTTGCTATGTGACCAGCCCATTTCCATTTCAATTCTTTTACTCTTTTAATGGCAACGTATACGTCCATTTGTTCTCTAATCTACATGCAGGTCTTTCTATCTTGTCTTGTGATGCCAAGCATGTATCTTTCCATGGCTCTTTGTGCCACTCATAGCTTTTGTATCGATTGTGAGATTAGTGTCCATGTTTCACTGGCATATGTTAGAGCAGGTAGCGCACACTAATTGAAAACAATGTTAGCTTGGGCCAAAAATTTTGGACACAATATTGAGTTAGAAGATTGGGGAAAAATGTGGAACAAAAACTATACTTTAACAAAATCCACTGCATACAAAGAAAACCAATACGAGATGTTTTACCGTTGGCATTTAGCCCCAACAAGGCTTGCAAAGATGTATCCCAACCTAAACCCTAAGTGTTGGAAATGCAAACAAGTGCAAGGTACTTTTTTCCATGTCTGGTGGCTGTGCTGGAAATTAAAAAATATTGGATTAAAATACAAAAATGGCTAAATGAAATCACCCACTGTTGAAGAGAGTTGAAGCCTGAATTGTTTCTCCTGGGGATCATTAAGGGTGAATACCCCCAAAAGATTAAATATTTGACTATACATATTATTATGGCAGCAAGAATTGCACTAGCACAAGCTTGGAAAATGTCTAACATACCATCAGATTGTTTAATAATCCAATTTTTTTTCAAATGCACAGAAATGGATAGACTCACCATAGAACTGAATAACAAGGAAGACTCAGAGCAGTGGTCGCCAACCGGTGGGCCGTGGCCCACTGGTGGGCCGTGAGAAAATTTTGGTGGGCCGCAGAGAAATCTCACCCCCAGAGCTCCCCCACAAAGTAATTAATCCAGGCTGTGCAGAAACACAAGGCTGTGCCATCCATATGGCCCGCGGGAACCCTCCCCGCCCACTCACTCCTTACCTGGTAAACTTGCCTGCTAAATTGCTATTTTTCCTTTTTCCGACCATCATCTGTTCTGCTGTGCCAGGAGATTTAGATTAGCTAGGAAGCAGGAAATGGTTGGATTTCTTGCTTTTTAGCTAGTCTTTAGATCTTCGGCTCAGCACAGCCAAACCTCCCTTAGGACTGAAGGTTTGCTTGCAGGCAAATTCAGTGCAGACTCACGGCAAGCAAATTTGAGAGACTGAGCTAGCTGATGGCAGATAGATAGATCACTGGATAATTCTGTGAGCAACTCAGTCTGCCTGCTTTGCCCGATTTTGGGTAAAAGTTGCTCTGTTTTTAAATAAAAAATTCAATATTTACATGCATGGTATGTTGTGAGTTAATTTTATGAGTTTGCTTACAAGCAAATTTTATGTGACAAACTGAGCTAGCCAATGGCAGATATATCTCTGAATGAATCTGTGATTCTGTGAGCAACTCAATCTGCCTGCTTTGCCTGATTTTGGGTAAAAGTTGCTCTTTTTTTAATAAAAAATTCAATATTTATATAAATATTGATAATATTTACATACAAGCCATGCCCAGCCAGTCACATGACCACCAAGCCACACCCACAAATTAGGCCACTCTCACAGAACCGTTTAGTGGTCCCTGGGATCTAAAATTATGAGTTTGGTGGTCCCTGAGGTCCAAAAGGTTGGTGACCTCTGACTCAGAGTATTA